TTGAGGGAATGCGTGAATGTCCGTGCGAGTGAGCTGGGATCCACGCCTGGGTGTGTGGGAGAAAGCGTCTGTGAACTCAAGTGTGACTCCAGTTATGTGCTTGTGAGAATGTGACAGTGGATGAGGCTGGGACGAGTGTGAGTGTGTGTGACTGAATGTGTGTGATCTCCAAGGCTGCTGAGCACCGCTGACGACCTGTGGGGATCACTGACTGCCTTGGGGGGATGGCAGTATCTGGCCTCAGTCCTCTGGGGTGGTACGTGGCCCTCCCAGCTTCCCCCCATTCCAGGAAAGTCCAGTCCTGGTGCCTCCAGGAGGGAGGGGTGCCCGCGCAGGCCCTGGGCAGCTGCTGCCTGCCCCTGGACCCTCAACATCTGAAGCCCACGTCTGCTAGGGATGGACTTTGGACTTGAGCTGCACACAAAACACCATGATTCCATGGGGCAGGCTATGGCATGAGGTGCTGAACAAGACACCAGGCCGGTTTTGAAGGCTAAGCCTGTTCTGAAAGGGAAGACCCCAGGCCCTTCCACAGGGGCCTCCTCCCTCCACCTTGCCCTCTTTTGGGTGAGTCAGCTTGGGGCGGGCCTCCAGTTCCAGGAGAGGCCCGCCCTGCCCTCTGCTCCCTCTGTCACCTGCCTCACAGCGGGAAGCTTCTGCCTGGTAGCCCCAGGCCAGGATGAGCAAGTTCCAGGGCCCCTGCCTGGCAAAAGCCCCCTGTGTTCTCCGCTCCTTCCTGGCCCAGCCCTTGGGAGGCCTCACAGAGGCCCCTGACCTCAGCCAACTCCCACTCGCCTTCCTGAGCAACCTCTAAAGCCGGCAAGCAGGGGTCAAATTCAAGTGTAGCAATTTCTCCAGCCACAGATCTGACAGGAAAAGCCCAGAAGGGAGGGGCTTTCCATGAACCTCCAGCCTTCTCTAGCTAGGAGGCACATTAGCTCATCCACTAACCAACTGACTGACCAACCAACTAATCAACTGCCGGCTAACTTATCGGTGTGTGCCCTGGGCAGGTAGGCAACCCTTGTGGCCTGGGACCCAGGCAGGCAGGGGTCCCGGTGGCTGCCAGGGCAGCCCCTGCTCAAAGGCCAGGTTCTACACCAAGGGCCCTTTCCTCAGCTCAGTCACCACGCAGCAGGGCACCCTCTTGGAGCTCCCAGTGGCTCAGCCCTCACCCTGGCGGGCACTGCCCCTCCTGCCTTGCCTCCTGAGGTTTCAGACACAAACTGGGCTCTGGGCTTTTTCCTCTGCTGCAGAGCACAGCTGTATGAGGTTGTTTTGATTTCTTCCCCGAGGCCCAGCATACTGACAAAGGCCAGGCAGCTGCAACCTGGGTAACTCCCAGTGCGGCCCTTAGCCTTTCCAGCATGGAAGACTCTTCCGGTGTTTTGCCGCCTCCCCTGGTGCAGCTCCCCAGAAGATGGAGACGTCCACTCAGAGACAAGCGAGTCCTCCCAGGCTGGGCAGCACAGGCTGATCCCTGAGCCTTCCTCGGGGCTGATGTGCGTCGAGACCGTGGTATGATGCCTGGGATGGGGAGGGGGGCAGAGCCGAGTCCCCGACTGTTGACTATGGCAGGCCTCCGTGGCGGCCTCAGTCTGCAGCGCGTGGCGGCGACACCAAGGGATGGCCAAGGCGACGGCACCTCCCCTGGCCTTCTCCCCTGACCACCTGCTTCCAGGAGTCCCAGCCAACCACGTGGAGAGGTCACAGGAGAGGCCAAGGGTAGGTGTTCCAGCCACAGGCCCAATGGACGACCAGTATCAACCACCGGACACATGAGTGAAGATGCTTCTGGAAGATACACACCCCAAAGATGGAATCTGCCCCGCAGAGGCTCTGGACGCCATGGAATAGAGCCAGCCACCGCAAAGCCCCGTCCAAGTACCTGCCCACGAGCGCCTCAGCACAGCCGCTTCTCACCTGACAGAAGATGGGGTGGCGCGTGCAGGTAAAGGGCTCACGGTGGCTTTCTCAGCCTCTCCTCCTCCTCCCCTGCTCACATATCAATCTAATCATCACATCATGGTGTTTCTGGAATTCCTGTCTACCCCCCTATGCCACCCCTTTGTGCATCCAGCTTCAGCTGAGAGGGCCACTGGGTCCTGTCCCCCTCTCCGGCTCCCAGCCAGATGTGGGAAGTCCTGTAAGGTACACACTGGGCTTGGGTGACCAGCTCAGATACACTTGGGAAGGGGTGGTCCCGGTCTTGTGTCACCATTTTGGCTCAGGCGACGCTTGCTCTGGAGAACAAACCAGGATTTTGGGAGGTGTCACCCAGCCCTGCCTGACCCACCTGACAGGCCCACCCCCCGCCCAAGGCCCCTCCCAAGTGTGGGCCCCGCTCCTCCCTGGGAGCTGGTCCACTTCCCTGGCCTCCCGCTTCGGTCTCCATCTTCCATCCCCTCCATTCTGCGGCCAGATCTTCTCCCTAGAGCCCAGGTCTGGTGAAGTTTCCACCTCAAACCGATATTACAAGTAGGCCCACCACAAACATACAGAAACTGCAGGGTGCCACACACATGAAGAACCTAAAGCCAAGTCTTAGAGATGGATTAAAACAGTTAAATTTTAAGGTCTATATATTTACCATGATGCAGATATATTCTTCTACCACAATTTAAACATATACGTGTATGTACTTCTTTAAACCTTCACCCAGTGAAGAATGATGTAAACAAAAAAAACAAAACAAAAAAAAACCTTCACCCAAGGGCCCACACTCCTTCTGCCTTAGGGCCCGAGCTGCCTCCAAGCCCCTGGGCCTGTGTGTGGAGAATGGTACCCTCTGGCCCGCCCTCCAGCACCGTCTGGCCTCTCCCACCCCGACAGCTTCTGCTTTCCCAGACCGCAAAGGCATCTGGGTGCTCTGGGTCTCAGGCTTCCACCTGGGTGTCCCAACACGTCCTCCACATCTATAGGGCTTCAGTGACCAGAGCCCAGGGCTTGGGAGAGGGCCACAGGGAAAGGCCAGGACCACTGGGAGGACCACGCAGCCAACTGGTTTCTAAGTCAAGTCCACTTTATTTGAAATTTTTCACATGCCACAGATTTACATGGGATGGGAACACCCAAAATGTAGTTTGAGCACAAAATTCAGGAGCAGGCGTCACTGTGAGACACCACAGAGGGCGGGTCACCAGACAGACAAGGTGTTGTCAAAAGGCAAGTGACACATGTTCGGTCATTTAGCACCTGGTCACACATTTTGAGACCCCCCCCCCCCCGGCTGGCTCACCCCAGCCCCCTTAAAAGCACGCTGAGCTCAATCCTCTCCAGTCAAAGCCACACGTGGTTGGGCTATGGTCAGAGGGCCAGCTACGGGGCGAGCGTGGGTACCCACAGCCCCACGTGCACACACGTACCGCCACGAGCCCCACGGCCTGCATGCTCCCCCGGAGGCTGGTGCCCCCTCCCCAGTCAGGTGTGTGATCCCATCTTGGGTTTAGCCGGCAGCAGCTTCTGCCTGCTTCAGGCCCTGGCCTTAACTGAGCACAAGCCTGGCTAACGAGCAGCCCTGGGTCCCCAGGTCCCCCTGGCCCCAAGTGGGGTACAGCAGGTGCCCTGTGAGAACGCTGACAGTTTCCTGAACAATCTCCAGAAGAGCAACACTTAGAGGCCCCTGGCCGGCCTGCGTCACACTAGTTTCCCATTTCCAGGGGTTTTCATTGAGCAGCCAGCAGACCTCAAAACTTATCATTGGGGTCCTGCACCCCAGATGGATGTCTGACATCAACAGGAGTGTGAGCGCCTCCTGCACGGGCCTTCCCTTTCCCGTGGGAGGGCCCCCACGTGTTCGAGTCCCCACCCACGTCTCCCTGCACATTCACAGGACCAGGTACGGGTTTCCCTCACCTGACTGAAATTGATGGGACCCACTCCCAACAGTCACAGTTCACCATCCTAATCCACTACTTTCTCATTTTCTCTTACAAAGGCTCAGTGATGTTCAAACCCTAAAGAACAAATATAGACGGCAGGTTACCCCCACCGCCCCGCCCCTCAGTGCAGGATGGGCCCATCAGGGGCTTTCTGCAAAGCTGGAACAGGCCGTGGATGTGGAGGGCTGCTGGTTGCAGACCCTCGTGGGCAAGCAGAGCCCCGCCTTCCTGGGCCCCCACCGCACCACTCCACTGACCTTGCCCAGCCCAAATGGCCATCACACTCCTGACGCCTCAGCCGAATGGCCTAGGCCTCTGGGTCCTGGCACAAGGGCCAATCAAGGGGTTGTGACCCTGAAAACCCTGCCCCACACCGCCAGCCAGGGGGGCACCAGCCCCAGGGCCCAGCCTGGGGCCGAGCCGAGGACAGCCCTACCACGTGCACAGCGCACACAGCTCCCAGGCCGCCAGAGAAGGCACCCCGGGCAGAGGACAGGCAGGGCCAGGCCCTGGTTGTGAGAAACTGAGATGCCCTCAATCCAGCCTCCTGGGACTTGGGGGGTGGGGAAATGACTGTACATAGAAATGAGAAAGTCCAGAAGCAGGGAGGGGCCTGTGGTCCTGAGTCAGGATTCCCGCTCCCCTTGGCCCCTGGAGCGGCCCCGGGCGCCTCCGCATTGGCCTCGGTGTTGCTGGTGATGCGGCTGCAGAGGTGGGGGCCGGCGCAGAGCAGGTGCGGGGTGAGCCTGGGGTCTGAGGGTGAGGGGCACAGGCGGAGGCAGCCCTGGGAGGCCGGCGGGTGCTCTCTGTAACAAAGGAGCGCCCTGCTCCCCCCCCGCCGCCGCCCGGTGTCTTGCACACACAGCATGCACAGACGCGCTCCCAGGCAGAGATGCGCAAGCACGCACACACATGTGCGCCGCCACACACACACCCGCGCCCGGTGCTGACCAGGCCCCTCTCAGCAGGCAGCATATGGTCGGTCGCTTAACAACCCAGTTCTGCCAACTGGGGACCATTAGGGTGGGTTCTTTTCCCAGCGTAAAATGCTGCAGCATATAAATTGCAATTAACACTGGTGCCAAAATAGCACTTAGCGAGAATAAGCACATTATTAACATCTGGTGAATCCTGTCTTGGGTGTAGAAGCAGCGGCAATTCTTGCTCTAAGTAAAAGGATGGTTGCAGGGGACACTAAAAATACAAGTCTACTGTTTAGGGGTTGCTATCCAAGGCAGTGTACACCCCCAGCCTCTCACAAATGGTCCTCCCAGCCCTGTTTATTGGAATAAATTATACTGCTGGTTAAAACTGCTTGCTCGTGAGAACAGCCCTCCCTGGCCAGAGCGTGCAGGCGTCTCAGCCTCTGGAGAAACTCCTAGTGGAAAACACACGCGGCCTGGGCCAAGGTCGCGCTGGGTGAACGGAGGGCACCCAAGCCACCCAGGCCCTGGGGCTCTAGCCTCACCCACAGAAGTCCCGGAGTTGACAGGGCCACCTGCCTCCCTCACAGCCCGTGCTGGCCACAGCCGTGCTGTTCAGGCAGCGACTGCTCAGGCCCTGGCTTGGAAGACCGGTAGCAGTTCCCACACCATCCTTCCTAGTCACCCTGGCCTGGTGGTTTCCACTGCCACCTGGCAGAAATGGCCAGAAATTAGGGAGAAAGGTACGCCTACCTCCCAGACTCTCATCCACAGAAATGGGCCGAACAGGAACCTTGGTCCTTCTTTCTGGGGGCCAGGGCAGCTGCCCAGGCCGTGAAGAACTGAGGCCCAGGCTGCAGCCTTTAGGCCAGGTTGGGACCTGAGAGGTGAAGACTCTAGGGGAGGCCTGCTGTAGGGCATTCAGCTGAAGGCAGGTGCAGACCATGCCTCTGGCTACGAGGCAAAGAACCGCCAGCTGCAGCCTGCAGTGGAGAGAGGACACTCACAGTAAGGAAAACAAGGTGAGCGGGAGAGGCCCAGCCCCAGCCCCAGCTGTGCAAACACACCCTCCATCAGTCAGGAACTGAACAGAGAGCCTGAGCCTCAGGACAGGCCCAAGTCGCTGGGCCAATGTGTGCTGACAGAACTAGCCAGGGCACTCAGGGACTGAGATTATGCCAGGCCCCAAATCCAAGGGTTCCCACAAGCACGACTAGGTTTCTAGGTTCCTGGGCCACCTCTGTCTGTGGGGGGGTGGGGAAAGAACCCAGGGTGGGCAGGCAAACAAATGCCCAGGACATATATAGCTGAGACAGAAGGACAAGCCACGTGGAATGGGGCCAATAATCACCATGGAAACAGCAGAAAGATGGCCGAGCTGTTGGGGCCACCAGGAGGAAAGCCAAGAGGGTTCCAGCAGTGCCTACAGGGCCCTGCAACCTCAGCCGAGCAGGAAAGGGAGGCCGGCAAGAAAGGCCCAGCCTGCCGGCTCCTGGGACGCAGCCTCTGCAGCGACTGAGGCATGCCCGGGGTGGACGCTGAGGCCACAGCCTCATGTCTCCAGAGCAGGAGGCAGAGGGGATACCGCAGGGGCCCACCAGCCAAGGCGGGGTGGCTCTGGGGAACCTTGGGGTTGAGAAGGCAGAGGCGCTGGGCGTAGCACAGGTCGGCCCTAGACTACAGAGGTCACCTCATTTTTGGAGTAGCTAAGTTGAAGTTCTTTAAAGTGCAACATAAAGCTATCTGAAATGGGATAGTTTGATCACTTACTCCAGCTTTAAACATCGTTTCTGGGTTTTAATATTCTAAGCCGTGTGTGTGTGTGTGTGTGTGTGTGTTGAGCATCTCCCCAGAAGGAGAGATCCTACAGATGACTGAAGTCGCTAAAGCTAAGCAGATGACTGGCCTGTGGCAGGCCCTAGCCGGAGCCCCACCCAGCAACCCCAGGCCCCAGGGCCCTGCCGGGCCACTGCTCCTGAAGTTGTCTGATGCCACCTTGCTGGACGCTAGACACAACTGGGCTAAAATGCGTCTCAGGAGACGTCTGCAGCCCCAGAACTTGCTCCTCACGTGTCGCACGGACACCTGGCCTGAGGCAGGGGCTCGGGGACACATGGCCAATGGCCTCATAGCCAGAGGTCAGTGTGGACAAGCTTGTCTGCCCACAGGCACAGTCACCTGTGGGGGGTGACCAGCACCAAGCCTCAGTCCACCCTCCACCAAGCACAAAGCACAGAGATGGCAGGGGACCAGGACAGCAGCAGCCAGGGACACAGGCGGAGGCGAGGAGGCGGCTTGGCGGCGCAGCGCTGACGGCCTGGGCGGCCCGGCAGGAGAGCTCTGGCAGCCCTGGCTCTGCGCAGTCATGCCCACCGCCAGGCCCCCAGCCACCCCCACTGGGCTCTTCCTGCTGTGTCCTCCTCCGCCGTCTCAGCCCAGATTTCTCGTGACAAGCCACGAGCGCTGCGAGAGGAAGCACGGGGAGCCCTGGCCGGGGAGGTGGCAGAGAAAGAGGCTTCCTTCCTCCGAGACACACCACGGGGTCGAGTCTGGCGGGCTCCTGGGGCCCGCACCAGGCGAGGAGCAGGAGTGGGGCCGCAGCAGCCATCGGAAGTCACACGCCCATTCCACAGTCCTGCTCCTTGGCTGCTGAGGCTGCCGGCAAGGGGACTCCGCGACGGAAGCAGCTTCGCTGTGCTGTCACCACCACAAGTTTGGGGGCTCCTCGGCCACTCTGCTTTTAAACAAGGTGATCTCGTCCAGATGCATCATGGGGACGTCCCGGATGACATCAGTCAGACCCTCATGGAGCAGAGGGAAGATGACGACGTTCAGTGCGGGCCGCTCGGCCTGGAAACTGAACCAGAGACAAGCCATTAGCAGGCCTGTTGGAGGCCAGACGGGAGGCTGCCCACACAAAAGGATGGACAGAGGAGTCTGCCTCTGGTGGTGCTTCTGTCAGGCCCAGAGCTGCCCCTGCACGCCAGGCAGAGGGGCCAGGTAGGGAGGCCTACAGAGGGCCTGCCAGAACAGGCTGCGACATTCCTGGCCCCGGAGCAGCATTGCTAAGGAAGCTGCAGAACTGAGGCCTCTGGTGACCAAAGGCCCCACAATCAGGACCCAGCAAGGGGTAAAGAAAAAGCCATGGTCCCACAGCTGGTCAGAGCCAAGTTCCTTTTTGCACAGTCCCTCGCATGTGGTAGTGGACAGACAGGCCCAAGTTCCAGCCCAGGAGCTCAAGGTAGGAGGTGGGACACAGTGACCCCCAGGGGGTGAGACAGAAGAGCAGCTCTGACTAGGGAAGAAACGTCCATCATGCGAAGGTACCCACACAACAGGGGACCAGGGCCTTGCTAAGGCTAAGACAGGCCCTCCCAGCCCCCACACCTGCCTCAAGGAACGAGGAAGCCACAGTCCCAGTTCCTGCTTGAGGCCCCCAACGGACACAGGGCTGGATTTATGACATAGGTAAAGTACATGCCAGAAAGACACTCATAAAACTTGAGTTTATTGTTTTGGCAATAAAGATGCAAGGAAGCCCCTCCCCATGCCGCACATTTTCTGCTCTTGGGCTGCATGCAGTGTCTGGCCACGAACCTCACAGTCTGCACGGCGGGCAAGTCGTTGCCTGCAAGCCTGCTGTGCGACTGACTTGACTGAACCAAGGATTCTCGGATATATAACATGAGTGCAAAGGCCCCCGTGTCCTTCCTTCCCGCCATCGCCGGTTCTTCAAGGGCTGAAGCAGGATTAACCTCTCACCCCAATGCAGCGAGGATGCTAGCCCTTCCACGCGGACCTGGGCGGCTGCAGGGGTGCAGCTGTCCAGGCAGCCGTGAGGCCCAGCACTTGGTGACAGGCACAGAGGTCCCAGACAGCGAGTGGAGCTGCCACCTCTGGCGTTGGGCCACACTTCCTTCTGTGGCCTCGTCTTCAGTTCACACCTGGGGCAACAGGGCGTGCAGCGAGCCTGAGAGCCACCCAAAGCCGCCCCCAAGAAGCCTGCACACGGTCGCAGCTAGAGCCGCTGTCCCCACCAGGGGAAGATAATCCGAGTCCTCATGCAGGGGTGGTGACAAGTTGGGAGGAAGGAAAATGGGAAGTGTTCACTTGCAAGGGCAGGGTTGGGGTTCCCTCCAGGAAAATCGGGGGCTCCCCACAGAGGCAAGCTCTTGGCTGGGCTGCCAACTACGTGCATTCTGCTGTGGAACTCATGCTGTTATAATGTACTCTGTGAGATTCCAACACAGTGTGAGACGTAAGTAAACAGAGCAGTGAAATAAAACAAGTCTCCTTGCTCCCCATGTTGAGAAGCCAGGCTGGACTGGAACCGACGGTGGGACTGATACCCGGGACCTCTCACCTGACCACAGCTAGTCACTTCGCTAACAAGAGCCTGAGCAGCCACTGCCGGCCTGAAATTGCAGAGACACAAGCCAGGTCTGAGGGGTGGGTTCTCCTCCAGGTGGTGGAGTCCTGGGTTCCAGGGCCTGGCTCTGCAGTCACGCCAGGTGTGGGCTGAGGGTCGGGCAGGCACCAGGGCACAATCCAGAGGCCCAGTACTAAGCCCACAATGGCCTGCTTGCTGTGTCCAGGCACAATCCCGATCCCTGCAGACCTAGCCACCTGGCTCCCAGGAGAAACAGTGAGACCCATGAGAGCCAGTCACCAAGGGGTCACTTCAACAGGGCAGAAAGGTTGGTCCCTCCTTGAGGGTCTGAGGAAATTCACACGGAGGCTTCAAAAAGACAAGTCACACTACACTTGCTCTGCCATAAGCAATAGGTCCTCGAATAAAATGACTTTGTTCAGCATCCATTTCTTGGAACACTGGTGAGAAAAAAAAGCCAGCTGATGCTGAACACCACTTAACGACCTGATTTCAGGGGCCTCCCTGGTTAAGTCACAGCACTATGAAACAATCCGAGTACAGCACGAGTTCGATCCCTGGCCAGGGAGCTGACCCACAGGGCGCAGCAGACCTCTCCTACCTCACCCGCTGCTCCCCTACATAGCATACTTACAAATGGTTAAAATGGTCAGTATTGTGTTATAGATGGCTCGCCACAAAAGAAGAAAAGCAAAACCTGCCTGCAGAGAAATAGGGAAGGGAACCCTTGACGCTCACTTGGCACAGAGCCAGGAACGCCCAGATCTGTGTGTGAATTGTTCCTCCGGGAGAACCTTGTGAAAGCGTGCAGAGACAGGACAAAACTGCGCTCCAGTCACAGGAAAGACAGCCATCACATACTGTCCTTGAAGGTGGTGCCCTTCAGAGCATGACATGCTGCTGTAGGTGTTCATGCTGCTGTAGCATGAGCCCAGAAGGAGTTGCTACAGACAGGGAGCCCTGAACCCCACAAGAGATTCTGGCTCAGGTCCTGATCTGGCAAAGGAGGGCTCCAGGAGCAAGGCCACTTTCAAGCCAACAGTCACCTGCTCTGCGCTCAGGTGGCCAAGGGTCCCGACCCCCTGCCGAGATAGTCACCATGTACCATGGGATCATGGAGCCTGGCCTTTCCCCTGGAGAGCCTGGACAGCCTTGATCATAGGAGATTTTTAACCAGCAAACATCTTCCACTTGTTGGTCACAGCCAGGCTGTGGTTGCTGCAGTGGGGCCCACGGCTGCCCAGGCCTGGCCCGCCAGCTCCCTGGCCCTGGTCCTCGGGACCTCCTCCAGATGGAACTAAACTTGCTAGCCCCCAACTGAATAAAGGCCACGATCCCCCCACTTGAACCTGAAGTGAAGCCCTGTTGGCCGGCTCTCTTTCCACAACCCAAAGATCAGCACTCTAGGTACAACGACTGCCACAGCCCTGTGGTAAGCCAAGTCGTGCAAGATGGATCCAACTGCTTCCTTTAAAAGCAATTAAGGCAACAAAATCACACTAATTCCATTTTTAAAAATCCACTTTCAACTCCAAAGCTTCATGTTCACCATATTTGAACAATTTATTGCACCATCTGTAAACTTTACCGGTTCCTAAACTCATTTGCAGAACACAAACACAGACGAAGCCCTCAGAGTGTTCTGGGCACTAAGTGGCGTGTCTACACAGGCGGCCCAGAGCCCCGGCGTCTGCCAGAACGTGTGGCAGCGGCAGGGCCTGCTCCTCCAGTCTGGCAGCTGGGAGCATGCCGGATTCGCGCGCCTCCTTTCAGCCCAGGTCGGAGCCTCTGCCTGCCGCCTCACAGACCCATGTTCCCCAGCAGCACAGGAAAACTGAGAAACTCCCCGGGGTCACTGAGAGGGTCTGCCCCGGCCTCCAGGCAGAGGTACAATCTATCCAGTGAAATGTCAGGCACAGTTCCCCCAACATCTGGGAGAGAGACAACATGATTCTGCCCCAGGAAGAATTTTCTGAGCTCAGAGAGAGGAGGCTGTCCTGTTCTGACCCCTCAGGCTGATACACCACAAGTGTAGTCTGGAAAGACTATGAATAAACGAGGCCCCAGAAGATGCCGGCGCCTTCTAGAAAGCACTGGCAGCCTGCAGACCCAGCATGTTCTCACCTCAGGAGGTCCTGGTACAAACAGGGGAACTGCAAGGCCTACAAGCCAGGCTTGGGACTCAGTCCTGCTTCCTCTTCGGAAGGTCTGAAAGGAAGGGCAGAAGCATCACAGAAGCAGGATAAGCCTCTGCGAAATAAGAATGTTGTCCGGCACCAGGCAGCAGAGGCCCAGCCCACAGGGAATGGAAGCAGACGGGAGATCAGGAGAGGCCCCAAGCGGAGAGAAAGTGCAGGGGCAGCCACTGCCAAACCTGGAGGCGGCCAGCAGTCACAGAAGTCTGAGAGGGGCCCAGAGGGTCACGTCTGGGGCCTGAAAGGACAAAGACAAGGTGCGGGAAGCAGAGCAAGTCCAGTCAGTCAGACGACATCCTCGCCCAGCCAGTGCTGTGCGGCCTCCCCCTCCAGCCCACCTTACAATGAGGAGTCGAGGAAGCCCACCGAGCAACCATGCGCTCAGTGGGCAGATGGGGTCCAAACCAGGGTCCCAGCAGGACCAGAGCTGCTTGGGGCCCACACAGTGGCTCTTGGTGCCAAACCTGGCAACAAGAAGAAACTGTTCCAAAGGCCACCCACGGGGATGTGTCTACAGGTCACACGTTGACCTTGAAAAGAGGCGGTGTTTTTGCCATAACGTGACTACAGCCACAACATCAGCCCCCCCCGAGTGAATCAGAAAAATCAGGCCAGACCTCAAGGCCACACAGATGAGGGGACAGGTAAGCAGCAGAACAACCAGAGCCAGGTGCTTCCTCCCTCTCAAAAACTCTGAGTTTGGCCTGGAAAGGGGTGAGAAAAGAAAAATGATCAGAAAAAGTGGCAACAAATGCCAGCCTCTTCCTTTTTATGTTATCCCTTTGGTGGAACCTGGCAGGCCTGTAGGCAAAGATAAAACAGAAATGAGTGGGGGAGGGGAGAGTGTTACTGTGAGCCACAGCACCATCTGCTGGGAATCCTGCAGAAAAGCATCTGGGGCCTCACTGCACAGCAAAGGCCTTAAGGGTGTCCAGAGTGCAGGGCCAGGGGCTAGGGCCTGAAAGGGGCAGGCAGGCCGGCAGGCCAGCAGGCCCCCTGTGCTCAGCCCCATTGGTCAGAGCTGACCTGCGTTGCCTGCCAGCCAGGAAAGGCCTCTGCAGGCCATACTAAACGGCACCGAGCTACAGCAGGGCCACACCACCGAGAGCTGCAGGCGGTGGGCACTATGGGCGTGCCCACCAGGAAGACACCCACAGGCCTGGGGCTGCACTGGGCTGGAGGAGTAGTTTTTCAGCAGATCCGGGTCTAAACAGCCCTACAAACACAAGGCTTCCTCAGTCCTGAGGCATCAGGCGAGGGGTCTGGGGTGCCCCCAATGGTGCTCAGTCCTGTAGAGTGTCTGGGAGGTGTCAGTGCCCCTTCCCCTCTGGACATCAACTCTGTCCTTACAGTGCCAGGATCCTGGCCAGGCTATTCAAAGCCTCAGTTTTCCCATCTGTATTCTGGGGCCAATGGCACTTACTCTGCAGGGCTTTTGATACCTGAACAATGGAGGCAAAATACACTGCGAGGCAAGGGTGCTCAGGATCCTGCGTGGGGCCCACACAGTGGCTCAAAAGTTGGCTGCAGAAGCCCTCCTTCAGTCATTTTAAATGAAAAGCTAGAATGGTACATTGTGTGTGTGTGTGTGTGTGTGTGTGTGTGTGTGTGTGTGTGTGTGTTTTTAAAGCCCTTAAAAATTTTTAAATGCCTTCCTTATGTTAAAACAACTCTTTGCATCACAGAGGTCTTCAGCATAACTTAGAAAGGCAAAGTTTGCAGATTTAAAATTTCTCTTCTCACGCTGTCTGTAAAGACACTCGCCCAAGGGCCTGCACAATGACCCCCACCAGATGAACCATTTCGGGAGAACCCAAGAGAGGTGAGTGGCTTAACATTCAGTAACCAGTTAATGGAAACATAAGTCCCACCTCTTCCCCAACTTCTCCAGCGTAAGCGGGAAGGTTCAGAAAACCTAAGTGTCCGCCTGCAGTGATCCACTGACTTCACGGAATCACCAAGGCCAGGAGGCCTCCTCGAGCCCCAGGGAGGCACACACAGGTCGGAGAAGTCATGGAACTGGACCCGGTGACATAGAACCTGTGAGCAGAGCCTCAATTTAGCTTCTTTCCCACAAATACTTGGGATTTGTGGGATTCTAACTGGGGGAGGGGAGGACAAAACAGGCTTGCTGAAAGGCACCTAGCACCTTGTTTTAGGTGACATAGAAGTGGGCTCTGCACTTACAGTCAGCTTCCAGCCTCCTGCAAAGCAGCAGTCAGATTCACTCACAGGAGCCCGCGGGGACAAACCCAAAGCCACCTCCCACAGACACTTAGCTGTACTCTGTGCACAACCCAACAGACATTGAGACCTGGGCTCCCAGGCCAGGATCAGGCAGATCTGGGGGGTGGCGGAGGCTGTCACTGAACTCAGGGTGGCACTCTGAAGCAACTGAACACAGGAGGCCAGGAAACCAGGAGGAAGAGAAGCATCAGGCCACCTGACAACGGAGACCCAGAGAGTTGGGTGCAGAGCTCCGTGCATCCTGGCATGACACACCCACCCAGGCAACGGGAAGGGACCCTGAGTCTGAGTTTTCCCTTCCCCCCCAAAAAAACCCAACTGAAGCGTCTCAAGAGATCTAAAGAGACACTCAGCAAGAGGAGAGGTGACCTTGCAATACACACATTAGATGACACTTCCGCAACAACCAAGACGCTCAGATGGCGGGGGACACCCTCACCCCAGAGGCTGGGGAGCCAAAGTGACAGTATCATGGGCAAGGGTGGGGACAAGCACTCACACCCCTTAGGGGAAGTGAGTCTTGGGAGAACTGCTAGGGAGAGCAACGAGGCAATTTCTCTCACAAGCCCCAGCCACGCCACTTCCAGGACTGTGTGCACTGCACACGAGGAAGCCCACCCGAGGGCAGTCACGAGGACTGAGGGAACACTGCCAAGAACCGGATGGCCAGCAACAGAGCGGAAACAACACATGACAGGTCGTCAGAAATGCTGCTCTCCCGGAACTTAGAAGGAGCACAGCAGCTTCACACGAGAATGACATCTGGAAACACAGGCTTCACACCACAGGCACGCAAGGCTGCCCCAAACACCCTGACAGACACCCCGCAGCACACAGGCGTGTGCATGTACTTCCAAGGCTCAAAAAACAAACTCACACTGGTCGTAGGCTCAGGTACTAAGGGGCTTTATTTCGGTCAATATATGATGACCCCTTACCTCTATTTTTTAAACATCATAGAGTAAATTTCAGAGCAACTGCAAAAAAGGCAGGGCAAGTATGAGTCTTATTCTGTGAAGTCTCAAATTCACAGAGACAAAGAAGAACAGAGGCTGAGAGGAAAGAGTGGGGTCGGTGTTTATGGGGGAGATTTCAGTGGGGAAGATGACGTCCTGGAGAAGGGTGGCAGTGAGGCTGCACAGCAGTGTGAATGGACCTAACGCCCCTGACCCACACACTCCAATGTAGAAAGCTGTAGAAATGGTCAATTTTGTGATGTGTATTTACAACAATCACAAACAAAAACAGAGCTATATAAAGAACTATTAAGAATGGACAAGGAGTGAGTTGCAAAAGATATTAAGTGAGAAAGCAAAGGACACGTGGAAACTACGGAACATATTCTACATCTGCTCGTCTGTGCAGATACGAGGGACAAAGGAGAACCAACTTGCCAGGCTGTCTGCCAGGAGTGTGAGGAGGAGGGGAGAAGAGGGCTGAAGAGGACATGTGAGCAAACTGGGTGACAAGCCCCAGCAACTCCCTTTCACACACTCTGACACGAGGACTCCAGTAAGAGTTCAAATACAAATAGGTATGTACACATCACACACACACACATCAACCTGACTGATGGCTGAATGAGAAATGAAATATTAGACAATAATAAGTAAACTTGACTTTTCAAGAATGAGAAAACAAGACCACACAAAAGGAGGTGGGAAGGCAATGAGTACTCTGGACACCGTGAGACACACACAAATACCCCACTCCGGCTAGCAGAGCTGTCTCACAAGGTGGAGGGGGCTAGCAATTCCAAAACTACCTCCCACAGACATCAGGACTACACAAGTTATACAGTGAAGGCCAGGCTGCCCACTGTCACACACTGTGGGAGAGAGGTGACCCTTAAGGAAGGGGACCGGCCATGATGATGCTGGGTTGGAGTAGAGACATCAACCTGAGCATTGTTTTCACTACAAATGCAAATGGAGAGAAATAAAATAAAAACAGATGGATGTGTGTACATAAATATACACAGATGATTTCCTACTTTGTACACAGCAAGGAGTGACACCCCTGTGGCACTGCCCCAATCTTGGTTTCTAAGTACACTTCTTCTGAGAACAGAGCCAGTCTGGGGCAGGAAAACATAAGATATGCCTGGAATATTTTGCTGTGACAGAAATAAGAAGTTATCAAAAAAGGGCATGTTAAAAGGGCACAGGACCCAACTGACATAATGCCCCATGGTCAAATTTGGAACAATCTGAGCCAACAGTATGAACAGTGACAGGAGCAGACTGAGAGCTGCTGACAACTGCGTGAATAAGTGAATGGGAAGGCAGGATTCTCCCACAGTACAGTCCCCATTAACAAACACAGAAGGAGCAAAGGAAACAGAAAACCAACATCAGGCAAATGTCCAGAGCATAACTTGTTGGCAAGATCCATCCAAGGAGGCTAAGTTAACGGGCAAAAAGCCTGATGAGAAACAGTATTTGCAGACGCTTATAATTCTCATTACACTAGTAACTTTACAGGGGAGAAACCTGGCAGACATCACAACCAAGTGACTAAGGGTAAGTCTGCTGGGGGTTGAGACACACACTACTAATTGCACCCAAAAGCTACAGTGAGAAGGATACAGGGTCACCTGTGATTTTCTGACCAAGAAACATCAGGTAAACCCAAACTAATGGAGAGCATACCAGACATCTAGCCAGTGCACTTCAAGAATGTCAAGGTCCAGCTCTCCCTGGTGGCAAACCAGGTTAAAGCACAGCACTATGAAACTGTAGCCACTATCGCACGAGTTTGATCCCTGGCAAGGGAGCTGACCCACATGGCACCTCAGACCTCTCCTGTGTCGCCCACTGCTCCCAGTAGTGTATTTCAGTACATCTACCTATTCTGCTCCCCACTCTGTCTCTAGTGAATCCTCTCACCCCCACACCTCTGGCCTGTACCCCAGGTTCTGTATGCATAAATAAGTAAATCTGTAAAAAAAAAAAAAAAAAAGCCATCATTAAATCAAAAACGCAGCCTAGTGAATGGGAAAAGGTATTTGCAAACCACATATAAGACATGGGGTTAATATCTAAAATATACAAACAACTGAGCAACAACCAATTGTAAAATGGATTAAGGATCTAAACAGGCATTTCAGCAAAGACATACAGATGGCAAACAGACACATGAAAAGATGTTCTATATCACTTATCATCAGGGAAATGCAAATGGAAACCACCATAAGATTTCACTTCATGCAGGTGAGAATGGCTATTATCAAAGTCAAGGAAACAATAAATGTCGGTGAAGATGTAGTGAAAAAGGAGCCCTCATACACTGTTGGTGAGAATGTAAATTAGTCAACTAAAACAGTATGGCGGTTCCTCCAAAACTTAAAACAGAACTAGCCTGTTCTCCAGTAATCCCACTTCTACGCATTTATCCAAACATTATTAAAAAAAGAAACAAACCCACGCAGTACACATCCCAACAGCCAAGACATGAAGACAGGCCGGTGCTACACCTAGGGAAGAGGGTGTGCACACAGGAGGGGCTGCCGCCTGGACGCAGAGATGGGTCTGCACCCTGTGGCTACTCGGAAGGACCCGGAGGGACGGAAGTGAAGTAAGTCAGGAGAAAGGCAGATACCAGGTCATTCCACTCACTGATGGGAAAGAAACAGAGGGAGGGGGAAAAGCTCACTCTGACCACAGGAGGGTGCCGCCAGAGAAACGGGGCTCAACAGGCAAGGGGACGGCTGAGGCGCAGGTGACTGACGTTGGTGGTGGGCCTGGGGGGGGTGGTGCGTGCAGCTGCTGAGGTAAAAAACACCTGAAACTTACAGTGTGATGAACTAAAGTTACTTCAGTTGGAAAAAAACAACAAAAAAAAAAAACGCAGTGTATTTTATACATCAAAAAAAGCATTTATGACAATATACGGAGAAATAAAGAATACCTTTACTTTCTTTTGGGGGCAGCTGCGAGCACTATCAGGCAGGCACTGGCAGCTATGGGATGACAGGAGCAGGGCACTGCCTACCACCCCAAAATTCTGACATGCCCCAGCTACATTCTAACCTTCGCCCCCAATCATGTCATCACATCCCACTTCCAGTACTTGTGTCTCAGTTGAAGATGATGATGAAGTTTCTAGGGGAAACTGCGTACCGTGGGCAGGTGTTCAAGAAACTCCCATCCCACCCTATAGGTGAAGAGCGCTTGCAACTGGCTGTGCACTCACAGCACATACCAGGAGGACTTGGCCCCAACCACCCAGCACTGCCATGACATGGGGACCTGGACCATGCTGGTCTGACTTAGTCCAGATCACGGACACGGAGGAGACTGACCAGGGAAGAATGACTCCAAGGTCAAGTTCCCGCCATCCCACCAGATCTGGGGTCACCTGTACATCCACACTTCATCGCCAGGAGGTCCAAAGCCTCCTTCTAGCTGCAGGTACCTCCCACCCTCAGGTCTACCCAAATAAACTGCCTGTAAAACCAAAACATCAGGCCCTCCCTGGTGGCACAGGGAGTTAAAGCACAGCAGGATGCCACTTCAAAGATGCGGCTAAAGCCACTTCAGGATGAGTCCAATCCCCACCCCAGAGGTGACCCACATGGCGCAGCAGACCTCTCCTGACCCGTCCGCTGCTCCCCTCAGCAGTGTACTTTGTCGATCTGCCTGTTCTGCTCCCCGCTGTCTCAGGTAAAGCCTCTCACCGCCCTGTACCTGTGGCCTATATCCCAGTTCTGTGTGCATAAATAAACCTTAAAAAAAAAAAAAAACAGAAAGTAAAACTTTTGTACGGGGCGGGAAGAAGCTTCAGCTGTGTAGAAAACGAGCCACAGAGCGGAATGAAAACGCAGCTTTGGAAGACTCAGCCTTCTCACCCCAGGCTGCCCACAGTGCTTATCTCCCTCCCTCCACCCAGTGAAGACCTAGGGAGGAAGGGGCTGATGGACGCTGATGCTGAGCTTCTGGGTCACCCCCGGCTCCGCCTGTGTGCACCCACTCACCTTCGGAGGAGGGACTGCTGCAGGTTCTTACAGGTGGCGAGCGACTCCCCGGTGAACATGTGGCACACGACGACATGCAGGCAGCGGGCCATGAAGGCCAGGACAGCCTCGGGCTGCAGGGTGCCGCTACGGGAGACCAGGCACAAACGCTGCAGTGTGGAGCACTGGCTCAGGGCCTGGAAGAACTGGGCGTTGGCGCTGAAGTAGGGCTGCTCCAGTCTGTGGGGAAAGAGCAGAGAGTGGTGGTGAGGCCTAGCCTCTCGGTCTGAAGTCCCCAGACATGCCCAGAGCCTAGCCCTGGGTGAGCCCTTGGACCCCGGGGTCTCCTCTGGCAATCTGATTCAAAAGACCTTGCTGACCCAACTGTCTGCCACTGTCTATAACCAGCCAGGACCCAACTCCCTGAACCTCTGGCACACTGGGCAGGAAACGGAGTCATGCTTGTGTGTGGTCACTGCCCTCAGGAGGGCTGATACAGGGAAGAGCAGGTACAGACAGCTCCACACACAGACAGAAGTAGGCATCCAGAAGGCAGGGAGACAGACAACCCGGGCCAGGTGGGGCCACGCTAGCCATGCCAGAAAGGATGGGGCAGCACTGGGCAGGCGCATACCCCCTAGTCTGGGGCTGAGGAAGACTAGACTAAGCACGCAGACCTCAGCCAGCAGACGAGGCTGGAGGTTTCCACCTAAGTATATGAGCAAGATGGGTGGAGAGGTGAGGATATGCGCTCTGGTCCCCAGCGCTAGACTCAACAAAGGGCAGAAGAGCCCTAAGACTGTGCTGAGGCTCCAGCTACAGTGACAAAGATCAGGACTAGGGAAAGAGCAGCAGATGTGCCAGGCTTTTCCTGGGAGTGTATGCCCAGGCAGGAAGCAGAGCACAGAGGGGCATGAGGCTCAGAGCGGCGTGCGGCACAGAGCACTGCGGCACAGGAAGCGGAAGTCCAGCTGCCAGCCCACGACACATGGATGTCACCGGATTCCAGGCAGGAGTTTGGGCCATTAATTCCCTCTGGGATAAAAGCCATGGCAAGGCAGAGAGGACCAGGAGGAAAGCAGAAAAGATTCAAGGGGACTATGGGTTCAATCTACTCCACCAGGGGAAGGGAGTGATCAAAGTCACACAGAGACCTGCCATGCATATGGATTTTCAGAGAAGTTGGATTTTCCTCAAGAAAATGTTTGAAGATGCTGGTTGGTTCTCCTTTAAAAACTTTTTTTAGAAAGACATGGAAACAACCCAACTGCTCAAAAGGAGATGACTGGATTTAAAAGATGTGGTACATATTCACAATGGAATATTACTCAGCAACCAAAAAAAATAAACACATGCCTTTTGCAGCAACATGGATAGAGCTGGAAAAGATCATGATGAGTGAAATAAGCCAGAAAGTAAAGGAAAATATTAGATGGTTTCACTCATAGTAGGAGTATAAAGGACTAGGGGAGAAATAATAATAATGAACAGCTATATACCAGAGACATTTCACAGGGGTGGAGTGGGGAGCGGGATCAAAAACAGTAGGGGGAGGGAATGCACTGGACTATGGTGATGGCACATGGGTGATTTGGTGATGGGAAGCCCATGGGGATTACAACTGAGATGGAAAAAGGCACAAAATGATGTAAAAATAAACTATTACATTATTAAAAAAAAAAAAAACTGTAAAAAAAAAATAGGGCCCTCCCTGGTGGCACAACGGATTAAGACGCAGCACTGCAAGCTGGCCACAGCCGCTTCAGTGCGAGTTCGATCCTCAGCCCCGGGGCTGACCCACATGGCACAGCCGGCTGACCCGCCCGCTGCTCCCCTCAGCAGTGTACTTTCTCGATATACCTGTTCTGCTCCCCACCCTGTCTCTGGTGAAGCTTCTCACTGCCCCTGCACCTCTGGCCTGTACCCCAGTTCTTTATGAATAAATAAATAAGTCTTAAAAAAAAAAGTCCTAGTAAGGCAGGCATCTCTTTATAGATCTAAAAGTAAGGAAAAAGGGGGGGGGGGGGTTTTGAACCTGGGACTGTGGAGCTGCAGTGACCTCTGCCTCCTGCAGGGGGAAGCAGGAGCTGTGCCGGGGCCTGAGAGTGGGGCCAGGATGCAGCAGGAAAGGACAGGCCTGAGGCAGCCTGGTCACTAGGTGGCAATGTGCATCTGCAGAGCCAGCCAAGAGGAAGGTGTTCGGCCTCTGGGTTAGAAACCAGCGGGCAGGCAGAGAAGGCAGGCAGAGAAAGTGTGCTGTATTCACACACAATTTAAGCAGTTTTTCACCTAGAGGGTCACTGCCAAATTCCTCCGTACTGAAGGAGGTGGCCCATCACAGGTGTTCAGGAAGAGGCTGGCCTACTGCAACTGTCCACTCCACTGGCTAGCCACACCACAGCCCCCTACTCACACATGGGCTGGCAGAACTGACGTGACAAGTGACTGGGTGACCAAGAGTCTGCAGAGGGCAGAGGATGACGAAAAGGTAACCTGACATCGCCTCAGGGAAGGGCACCCATGGCCCTTTCTTCTCTCCTCACTCTCCCTCAGCCATCCAATCAACAAGGTCAGTCTCCAAAGCCCACTTCCTGAGATGTCTAGTGTCCCTGAGGCTCTGCGGGCCCAGGGAGACACTAGGAAAGGAGTGCCCCCTCTCCTTTGCCTGCCCATACAGTGCCCAGGCCTGGGCTCTCCTAGGACAGTCTCCAGCACCTGTGTCCAGAGCAGTCCTTTTGCACCCACCCAAACCTTCCCTGATTCCCTGGTTCTGAGGTCACGGGCAGCCAAGGGTGACTCAGGACTGTGCCCCCCCACCACCAAGCAGGACTTAATCAGTCTTGGAAAGAAAGTGCCTTCTCTGTTCAACTTGTAGTCTTCTCTTTGCCGAAGTGCACACAAATCCAGAGCTGCCTGGCCCCAGCCAGAACAACGTGTTCTGCACCGCCTTTTTCAGGGCAGCCGGCTGCCCAGCCAGAGCCCAGCTGGCACAGAGCTCAGATTCATGGACCTTCGTGGTGGAGACAGCAGCAGCCGGAGCACGCTCGCCTGGGACCCCAGGGCTGCATCTCAAGAACATTCCACCAGGAAGTTCAGGAGTGGCCAGGGAAGCAGGCCTGAGAAGGAGAGGCATGCCTCCCTGAACACAGAATTCCGCTTCCTTTCTCTGGCTGCTGCCCACGGCAGGCGGCACCACCTGCTCCTTTCAATCCAGCCCCCAGTCAGCTTGCTACAGAAGGCAGACATCCAGAGGGATGGGGCCATTTGGCCACGTTTTGAAAACCGGTGTTTGTTCTGAACAGGCAGTACCCAGCTCTATCAGACGAGATTCTCAGCAGCCATGGTGCACAGAGAGGCCATTGTGAGTGGTGGTCAGGTTCACGGTTACCCTACAAAACCCGTTTATCCCAAGACCCACAGGCCTTTCCAGGCACAAACTCACACTGTATGCAGGGTCCTGCTCCTGGGGAAGGCCCTGAGTCGGAATGATCATGTCCCGGACCTTGACGACCACTCAGTGACCACTACATGCTGCTGTTACCCAGTTCATTTCTTAAAAAAATTTATTTACGCATACAGAACTGGGGTACAGGCCAGAAGTGCAGGGGCAGTGAGAGGGTTCACCACAGTCAGAGTGAGGAGCAGAATAGGCAGATTGATGGAGCACACTGCTGAGGGGAGCAGCGGGTGGGTCAGGAGGGGTCTGTCGCACCATGTGGGTCACCTCCGGGGTGGGGATTGAACTTGTACTGAAGCAGTCACAGCTAGCTTCCCAGTCCTGTCCTTTAACCCACTGTGCCACCAGGGAGGGCCCTGTTACCCAGTTCAATGCCCAGCTGTGAAGCGGGAAACAGTGCCAGCTGCCTGCAGCTGGGTCACCTAGGCTCATCTACAAAAGGAGACAGTAATCTCTACACTCACAGTTACCAGAGAGCCTATAAGCCCTGGGAAGCAGCTGGCAGCCATCCCCAAGGCACCTACACCACCCGACAGCAGCCTCAGCCCCTGCTAGCACACCTCCCTCCCTGTGCTGGGCGTAGGCTCCTTTGCTGATTTCTCCTCCTCCTCCTCCTGACCAATAATCGCTGAGCATCCCCAGGCCTCATATATGGTCTCCCCAGATTCTTTTGCTAGCTGGGAAACAGCTCCTCCACTGGTGTCTGAGGCACCTCAAACTCACGTGTGCATGCACCCAGCTGTGTGGGTTCAACTGCTCAGTCCAGAAGCCGCCACGCCATCTGCACCCATGGGACCCGCCATCCCATTGACCCCATCAGCAGATTCTCTGTAGTCAGAACCTGGCCATTTCTGGCCCTACATTGCTTTCTCCTGTCTCTGGTTACCAGGTCTGACTCCACCTCCTGACAGGGGTGCCGTGCCGGTCAACTGGCAGCACTAGCACCTCTAGGGGTCCCTGTAGGCAGCAGACACTCAAGCTCTAGGAGTCAGGCAGGTGCTGGGGACACAGCAGGGGTTCGCTACATGCCTCTATACATTCTGATTTCTAAACTACAAAACGTTTTACTCATTGATTGCTCATCTTATCAAAAACATTCTGATGACTGCCAAATAGCTTAACCACAGTAAGGAAAGGTGTGAGGTTTAAGGTTGGCAAGACCAACACAGCTGATGGCAAAAATGACAAGCCCAGAAACACCTTGGCTCTGAGTTGTGTTCAATTAAAACTCAAATGCTCACATGGGCTCTCTGAAGTAAGAAATATTCAATTCCCTGGTGGCACAAGGATTAAAGCACAGAATTGTGAAGCTATCTGCAGCCACTATAGCACGAGTTCAATCCCCGGCCAGGGAGCTGACCCACATGGCACAGCAGACCTCTCCTGTCTCGCCTGCTGCTCCCCTCAGCAGTGTGTTTCAGTAGATCTGCATGTTCTGCTCCCCACTCAGTCTCTGGTGAATCCTCTTACCCACCCCCCGCACCCTGCACCTCTGGCCCGTACCCCAGTTCTTGTATGCATAAATAAATCTTTTTAAAAGAATATTCAATTCCTGGTCACAAACATCAAACAGGGTAGCAGATATGGGTAATTTTTTGTTAAATGAAGGAATCCAACTGCAGCCTCAAGTTACACAACATCCACTGAGCACACGTTTATGATCTTCCAGAAAGGCCGGTGGCACACCCCTTAGCACAGCACATCCCGGGGCGCCTAGTCCCTGCTAGACCTGGGTGGGTGGTGAGACAGAGGGCCCAGCCCGGCCTTGCAGACAGCAGAGCCTCGTGTTCTCCTGCCGCGCCAGCGTGCCCTGGACTTGCAGCTCCGCTCTCAGCCCGCACCTCCACAGAGCCCCATCTCCAGTTAAGGCACAGGAAGAGACAAGTGTGAGGAGGCATGGACAGAGATGGACAGTAAGAAAAAAGGAAGCAGTTCTTGAAGGCTGCAGGGATATGCAGCAAGAAGACAGCAAGAGCTTCCAGACAGGACTCCAGGCTGTGGTGTGGGGGAGAAGGGTGGTGGGGGCTGTCTGTGGTCGGAGTCCTTCCTCCACTCCTGGCAGGCAGCTGGCGCCCACCCCAACCTGGCAGGAGAGGGGCCTATGCCAGAGAAATGAACACCGAGACGGCAGTGCGCAGGGAGAGGGAAGAGAAAACTCAGTCCACAGCCCTCACTCCTGCGGGGGGCCCTGTGCTGGAGCAGCCCGAGGCTCCTAAAGTCCTGGAATGGATGACAAACTGCCCCGCGCAGCCTTCACTGTCTCAGGTCATTCTGCGCCTCCAAGTAGGCCCCGGTGTCAGGGCCAAGGCGGCCACATCCGGAGGGTGGCACAGGGCTATGACCTTGGGCTGTTTAGCAAACAACGCAAAACACACATGAAGCTAACTTTGACTTAGATTTCTAAACTGGGGGATTCTGAAAACGCAGCATCATAGTTCTCAAAGCCAGAGTTAACTGGCACACACAAGACACAGCATAAGTAACCCCTTCTCCCCAGAGGCGGGGCTCTGTGGAGGTGCGGGCTGAGAGCGGAGCTGCAAGTCCAGGGCACGCTGGCGCGGCAGGAGAACACGAGGCTCTGCTGTCTGCAAGGCCGGCTGGGCCCTCTGTCTCACCACCCACCCAGGTCTAGCAGGGACTAGGCGCCCCGGGATGTGCTGTGCTAAGGGCTGTGACAGAGAGGGGGTGACATCCAGCCTGGCAGAGGCTCTGGAAGGCTCCAAGCTGAGCATGGCAAAGCCTTGTTGCTCCAGCTCAGCTCTGGCTCATCTACTGTCGGCCAACAGCATCTCGGGGGAGCGCGCAGGTCTGCAAGGACATAGCTGTGTCTGTTTTGTGTGGCTCAGGAGCACCCAAAAGTCCTATACTGGACGAATGGCCAAGGCACCAAATGAGCACCACTGGCCTGGGGACAGGGAGACACACAAGGCCCTGTGCCCTGCTGCCCAAGGGACAGGTCTGCGCCTCAGTCACCTCTAGCTCCAGGATGCGCAGGAGGTACGAATGCACTAAATAAACAGCTCCTTGCTACCGCATTCCCTCTGCCAGCCCCAAAGGCGCCTCAAGGCCGGTGGAGCCAGGGGGCAGCTGTGGGGGCCCCTTACCTGAGGTCCTTTAGCCGCTTGCAGTGCTGCAGCATGTCGGAGAGGGCCGACATGTAGACTACCTTCCCCATCATGCCCAGATTGGCCAGCGAGAGGGACTGGAGCTGCTGGCACTGCAGGCCAATGCTGACCAGCCCAGAGCCAGTCAAAATGCTGGGCAGCTGGGCCAGTGTCAGGTGCCGCAGGAAGGCCAACTGGCCAATGGCAGCCACCTCGGAGTCCCCCACGTTCTGTGCGCGGCTACAGGGCGGGAGGGAGTTTCGGATGGCTGGCTCATTGCGTGGCATAGCAGAAGAAAAGTTGGACCCAATCAGTTCGAGGCGCTCCAGAAAGGGCACGTTCTTCAGCAGGGACCAGAACACGGAGGAGGGCTGAGGGACCGCCTGCCCCGAGAAGGGGTTGGGACAGGACTGCACGCCGATGCGGACCTTCTTGCCAAAGCCGCGGGGCACGGCATGCATGGCAGGCTGGGCGGGTGCTCGGTCGGCCCGAGGCGCCGAGTCAGCCACAGAACACACCGGCAGTGACAGGGAGCGCAGATGGCACAGCCGGGCCAGCAGCTGGCACAGGTGCCGGCCCGGGCCCTCGGAGCTGTGGTGGTGGGCGGCCGAGAGATTGAGGTGCTGCAGGTTGCAGCAGGACGCCACCAGCGTCTCCAGGATGCTGCTGTCAATATCATCCTCCGCCTTGCGGAGCAGGGAGTCTGGGGCCAGGCAGTGAACACAGCCACTGAGATTCAGGCTCGCCAGGCTCCGGAGGTCCTTCCCTCCGTTGATGACCCGCTGGATCAGGTGGCCACCGGACAGAGTACACCGGCTAAAGCTGAAGTAAAACGGGTTGTTGAACTTCATGTGCTGCAGGAGGGCCGAGCCGTTGAGCCAGGACTTGGGCAGCTGCAGGGCGTCCAGCGCCACGTTGCGGGCCATGGAGTCCAACAGGTTTTTGGTGGCGCCGCTCTCAGCAAAACTGCCAGGCACGGAAATGAGGAAGGCGTGCAAGTTCTCGGGCGTGCGGTCACTGAGCACAGCAAGGTAGAGCCGCACCACCTCCTGGTTGATGTAGCCTGGGGCCAGGCGGGCATAGAAGACGCGCAGGTTCTGGTAGTGGGGCACGTTGCTCTGGCCCACCATGAGCTGGCCAGAGAGGATGGCTCCCTCGCGCGTGCGGTCCAGGATCTCAAAGTAGAGCAGCAGCTTCTCCAGGCTGGTGCAGCAGGGCACCACGCCATAGGATGGGGTGTACAGTGTCTGCTTCAGCTCCCGCACGCGGCTCAGCGTGGCCTTGCACTCGCTGCTCAGCTGGCCAGCATCGAAGCCTGGGCTCACGTCGATGGCCAACGAGCGTAGGTGTTGCAGGACTGATAGCATCTTGGAGAGGCGCAGAGAGGTCAGATGGCAGCCAGAAAGGTTCACCTTTACCAGGCCGCGGCAGCGGGCCACATGCTCGATGGTGGAGCCCGACAGCCAGTAGCAGCCAGCCATGTTGAGCTGCTGGATCTCTCGGCCAATCTCCTTCACTAGCCGCTTCACCTTGTCCTCGCTGGCCTGCAAGACAGGATGGAGTCGCCAGAAGGAGGAGGGAAGGTCTGAGTGCCAGGTGTCTCCTGTACCTTCACCCGCTCTGGTCACACTCCTTCACATCAATCAAGGAGCTCTAAAAGCTGAGGGAGGACACCCGCAGGGACGCTGGGAAGACTGGTGCCTCTGTCCCCGCCTGACAATAAGCTCACGCTGACAGTCGGAAGTTCCCAGCTAGATGGGAACATAAAATAGTATTGCCCCTGTGAGAAAGGTTCACCAAACTTTCCTCACAAATTTTCCTTTAATGTTCCTCAGAAAATTAGAGTGTGACCCAGAGATTCCACTCCTCGGTGTGCACCCAAGGGATCTAAAAACAGGAACTCGACCTGACACTACACATGATCACAGAGCATTAGTCACACTAACCAAAAGGTGAAAGCAACCCAAGAGTCCACCACTGACAAACAGATAAACATGTGGCCTCTCCACATAATAAAATGCGAGTCAGCACAGAGGTAATAAAGTTCTGACACGTGTTGTCACACGGACAAACTGTGTGGACATGATGCTGAGTGAAAGAAACCAGTCATGGGGCCCTCCCTGGTGGTGCAATGGGTTAAAGTGCAGCACTGTGAAGATACACGCAGCTACTGCAGCAACAGCTCAATCCCCAGCCAGGATGCTGACCCACATGGTGCAGACGACCTCTCCTGACCCACCCACTGCTCCCCTCAGCAGTGTTTCCATAGATCTGCCAGCTCTGCTCCCCACTCTGCCTCTGGTGAATCTTATCCCCCCGCCACACATACACACACCTCTGGCCTGTACCCCTAGTTCTTGTATGCATTAATAAATAAATCTTTTTTTAAAAAAAAGAGATACTTGGTCAGTTGATTTTCAACAAAGGTTACAAGGCGATTCAATAAGGAAATGATAATCTCTTCAATAAGGGGCGTTGGAACAGCTTAATGAAGCTGGACCTTTACCTCACACCACATCAGAAGAGTAATACAAAATGGATCCCAGATTTATCTGGAGGCTGTCTTGAGCAGGACTCTGCCATCTACCTCCCTCTTCATCAGCTACAGCATCCCACTTCCTGGCTGTTCCCCACCTCTGCACTCCCACCCCACACCTGCCCTCAGGATCCAAGTAACCTCACCTCATAGTCCTTCTGCAACAGCACAGTGTGAGTGAGGCTCTTGTCCAAACACAGGGCCGCCAGCTTCCGGCAGACGAGCCGGACATTCAGGATCAGGTCTGTGCTGGGAACATGGCTCAGGATGTGCAGAAGGATCTCGTCGGAGAAGCCCAACAAGTGGGTGCCACCTGCCACAGTGGCTGCTGCAGGGGACCCCTCACCATCGCTGGACTTATCCTGAAAAGGAGGGGGCACAAATTCTCTCAGAAGTCCCACAGCCTCAGTCAGGCCTCTCCACCCAGGGAGAGGAGCCAAGAGAGGCCTCACCACGGTCCATGGCAAAGAAGGTGTTTTAACCAAAATCTGAACTGCAAAACAAGAACTCATGACAATCCTCAGAGACATGTAAACCAACATTTCTCTCCCAAAGAAAGATTCCAAGTGAAATTCTAATTTTTTTTTTTTTTTAAATATCTTTTCTGGGCTCTCCCTGGTGGCACAGCAGGTTAAACTGCAGCACTATGAAGCTGAAGCCAGCCATAGCAGCCTCACCATGAGTTAGATCCGCAGGCAGAGAGGTGATCCACGTGGTGCTGGCTCATCCATTGCTCCCCTCAGCAGTGCACTTTGTCAATCTGCCTGTTCTGCTACCCTCGCTGTCTCTGGTGAATCTTATCACCCCCACCCCTGCACCTCAGGCCTATACCCCAGTTCTTGTATGCATAAATAAATCTTTAAATATATATATATACATATATATATATTTTTTTTCTACTAAAAGACTAGTCAAGTCTGAGCTGTTTCAGATGAAACCATATGACCACCAGCCAAGGTTCTCTGGTTTTGAAATGCTATTACTTCACTCTGTTCAAAAGTCAAACAAGGGGGCCCTCCCTGGTGGTGCAATGGGTTAGGACGCAGCACTGCATGCTGGCTGCAGCCACTTCAGTGCAAGTTTGATCGCCGGCCCTGGAGGTGACCCACACGGCAAAGCAGACCTCTCCTGGCCCGAACGCTGCTCCCCTCAGCTGTGTATTTTGTCGCTCGGCCTGTTCTGCTCCCCACTCTGTCTCGGCTGAAGCCTCTCACCACCCCTGCACCTCTGGCTTGTACCCCAATTGTATATGCATAAATAAATAAATCTTAAAAAAAAAAAAAAACTCAGGGCCCTCCCTGGTGGCAAAGTGGGTTAAAGCACAGCACTAAGAAACTAAAGCCATTTTACCATGAGTTCGATCCCCAGCCAGGAAGCTGACCCACAGGGCGCGGCAGACCTCTCCTGTCTTGCCTGCTGCTCCCCTCAGCAGTGTACTTTGTCCATCTGCCTGTTCTGCTCCCCACTCTGTCTCTGGTGAATCCTCTCACCCCCTGCACAGCTGGCCTAGACCCCAGTTCTGTATACAAAAAATAAATCTTTTTTAAAAAGAAAAGAAACAGTAAGACTTGGGAATACCAGTGTTTCGCCAACCAGGGAGGCCATGGTGTATGTGTGAGTCACCGTGAATCATGTCCTCAGAGCCACGGAGGACAGCAGCTTGAGCCAGCACTGTCACTGCAGGAAAGCAAGTCAGGAGGACCCGCGCCAAGAAACCCTAAGGTCCTTAATAGCAGGCAACAGCTCTTCCTAGACTCAGGACATCTTCAAATCTTACAGTCTGTGTTAAAAATGGATGGCACAATCCCCATAAAAATCTCAATGACATTCTTTAATGAAATAGAAAAAATATTGATGAGATTCATATGGAACAACAAAAAACCTCGAATAGCCAAAACCCTCATGTCTAAGAAAAATCAAAATGGAGGCATTACAAT